CAAAAAAAAAGGGGGGGGGGGACCAGCAGTTGGCATAATGACTATCTCGCTGGACTCCCATGTAGTTGACATGGTTTGAGTCCCGGACCCAGTGGCTTAAACTCATGCCGGGTGCATGCACGTGTGTGCCCAAGATCCCGAGGAGAATGGAGGAGAAGAGATTGTGGTGTGGCCATCCCGCTGGGGGGTGATTTCTCACTTTCTGTCTCTCTGTTTCTCTGTCTTTCTGGTAAGCACATGTGACTTATAGCAAAAAAAAAACTCTAAAAAAAAAGGTCTTTTGGCTGGAACCACTATCTCCCAGTAATTAACCAAAATGACGAACACAAAGGGACAGAGGAGAGGCACTGATATACGTTCTCTGGGCCTTTTAGAAAACATGGAGTCAGTAGTTGGACCAGCAGTTAGCGTAACAGCTATGTTGCTGGACTGCCATGTAGTCAACCGCAGTTCGCATCCCGGACCTGGTAGCTTAAAACTCACACCGAGCGTGTGTGCATGTGTGCCCAAGATCCAGAGAGAAGGGATTGTGGTGTGGCCATACCCCCTGGGGGGTTATTTCTTGCTTCCTGTCTCTCTGTCTCTCTCTCTGTCTGTCTGGCGAGCACACACACCCTATAGCAAAAACCTCTCCAAAAAAAAAAAAGAAAAAAGAAAACATGGAGTAGTTTCTTTGGTAACATATATGCGAATCTACATGAAAGGTGATATTGTAGACATCAAGGGAGTGGGTACTGTTCAAGAACAAAGCCCCACAAATGTGACCATGGCAAAACTGTAAGTCTACAATGTTACCTAGCATGCTGTTGACACTGTTATAAACAAACAAATTAAGGGCAAGACTCTTGCCAAAGAAATTATGTGCGTATTGAGCATATTAAGCATTCTAAGAGCAGAGATATCGTCCTAAAATGTATGAAGGAAAATACCCAGAAAAAGGAGGAAGCCAAAGAGAAAGGGACCTGGGTTCAACTGAACCACCAGGCTGCTCCACCCAGAGAAGCCACTGTGTGAGAACCAATGGAAAGGAGCCTGAGCTTCTGGAACCTATTTCTTATGAATTCATGATACGATGGATGTTAAAATAAACTATAATGTATGGTCTATAAAAAAAAAAAAAGAATATTCAGACACAAATACCACCTGAGATTGGGAATCATACCTCCAGGGCAGGATGGAGCAACTGTGTCAGAGGCCCTGGGCCTCAAGGAAGGTGAGACACAGGTGAGCAAAGACCTAACTTCTGGTTGGGATCAGCCCACTGCTCTTGCTGGATAATGTGGGGAGGATCGAAGCTTGCTTTGGCCATCAAGAGCCCACGTTAAGTGGTCATGACTAGCTGGGCAAAAGCTTTATAGACTACCTTTAGTTTACTCATTCTTTCTCTACGTCCTTCAAGTTTTATAGTTTTGGGCATGCTCAGACTTAGTAGACTAGCAAGCTAGATAAGGAAAGATACAGAGCCAGAAACGCCGAAGCCAAAGACCGTGCTCGCCACACCTCCCAGCGCTGGCCAGCACCTCCACTGTGTTATGACATATCGTGTGGACATACTGCTTCAGCCTGCATTTCTGCAGATCAAGTTTCACAATTCAGACTTGTTCTATACTCATGAACAAATACCACCAACAGTAAAACCATTATGGGTAACCTTGGCAAAGAGAACTATAAACACCCCAAGTAGAGAGCTGGTAAATATTTTTCACTATGGTGGCATTTTACCTACTCTGTGTAAGTTAAATACATATGTTCTTACCAAGAGGTATGTAGCAATAGCCACATCTTCATACACAAACTTTTCAGGATCAGTCACTTCAGGCCATACCTGAAACATAGCCAAGAGCAGAGGAACACTGTGATGACATTTCCCCACTCCTTCACAAAATGTAAAGTACCTCCATAAAGCATAAATCACATTGCACTTGTCACACAATACAATAAAAAATAAAAGTGTGTGGGGCCAGGAGATGGCGTAATGGCTATGTCGCTGGACTCCCATGTAGTTGACTGTAGTTTGAGTCCCAGACCCAGTGGCTTAAACTCAAGCCAGGCGTGTGTGCCCAAGATCCCGAGAGGAAAATAGAGGAGAAGGGATTGCGACGTGGCCATCCCGCATGGGGGCTGATTTCTCACTTTCTGTCTCTGTCCTTCTGGTGAGCACACACGCCCTATAGCAAAAAACCTCTCCAAACAAACAAACAAACAAATGTGTGCCCCAAAGGTACAGGTTCACGACTGGTCTCTTACAAGAGATCTGCAGAAAGACACAGACCTACTGTACTACTCGCGCAGGACATGCCAAGAACAAGGCAGTGCAAAGTAAGATTTTGCAATAAAGACTGCCTGGAGGAGGCGGCTGGACAGCACAGACAATGCTCAACTACTCTACCCTCACTGCTATCTAGACGAGAATAATGGACAAGAAATGAGAAGCCAGAGGGTCGAGTGAGGAAAGAAATGACCAGGGACAAGAAGACGTACTGCGGCCTTCCAGTCTGGGCGGGGACTGGCTGCCTCCCTATTCTGTCCCTGTCCCCTCTGTGAAACAGGGAGCAAGTCTGTGCCATAACTAACCTGCAGGACGGTCAAGGTGCTTTGAAGCTGTAAAGCACTAGCTGTGCAAAAGTAAGGCTACTGAAATTGTAAAGTGTGGTCCAGACTGTAGCATGGTGGATAAGGCAGCTGGGTCCCACACTGGCTAACTGCACAGTTCAAGTCCCAGACCCAGTGGCTTTAAACAAATGTGCTGGGCACATGTATATGCATGCCCAAAAATCCTGAAAGGAGGGAGAAATGAGGAAGGGATTGCAGGGTGACCGTTCCTCATGGGTATATTTTCTCACTTTCTCTCTGTCTCGCTACAATGAGTGCACATGCTGTCTGGCCAAAAAAAAAAAAAAGGGCAAAGTGGAGAACTGGCACTTGACAGGTGTGCAAAACCAACGGCTTGTGTCAAAAGTTAGGATTTCTACTTCTTGTCATAGTGCATCAGATAATTCAGATAAATTATCTCGCTGCAGTTAATTTTAAAAGCTGGAAAAATACTAAAAGTACCTTTTTAAAATGTTTTTTCTTTATTCGTGATAGAGCATGATGTGCACAAGCGACAGTGACCAGAAGACAAGAAGGGAAGCACCTCTCCACAGGGTCTGGTCAGGCCCAGTCACCTTCCACCAGTCCTCCACCCCCAGGGCATGGGCAATCTAAGCACTCGTGTGCTTGGTGTGTTTCAGGCTGTTTGGGCCAGGGACTGAAACCAAAAGTGCCAACGGATCGGGCTTCTCCTGGGAACAGCACTACCAGTGTGCCACAGAGCACACTCAAGAAAGTACCTTTTTTTTTTTTTTTTTTTTTTTTTTATGGAGAGGTTTTTGCTATAGGGCGTGTGCACTCACCACAAAGACAGAGAGAGACAGAGAGACAGAAAGCGAGAAATCCCCCCCTGGGGGGGTGGCCACTCTGCAATCCCTTCTCCATTCTCCTCTCGGGATCTTGGGCATGCATGCACACGCGCCTGGTGTAAGTTTAAGCCACCAGGTCCAGGACCTGAACTGCAGTTGACTACATGGGAGTCCAGAGACATAGCCATTACACCAACTGCTGGTCCCACATTGTATATGTTTTCTTAAAACATCTTTAAGCTTATTCTAGTAAATTACAGTAATTTAGTAATTAATTCAATGTTCAATTACTTTTGGATTTACAATTTCTTTAGTGGAAGAAAAATACAAAAAAAGATCATCTCTTTTCCATAACACATCCGCCTATTCCTCTGTTGTCTGTTCTGCTTTGTATGTCAAAGTACAGCCTGCAACATGTAATATAAGAGGCACATTTGACTTGAAGCCTGCATCTACATAAAAGTAGAAGATTCCAGGACCAGCAGGTGGTGTGGTGGTTAAGGGCGCAGGATTCCCACATGGCCAACTGCAGTTCGAGTCCCAGACCTGGCAGCTTCCTTTTCACTTTCTCTCTCTCTCTCTGTTCCCTTCTGGTCAAATTAAAATAAATAAATAAAGTCAAATAAAATAATTCTTAAAAAAAAAAAAAAAAAGAAGTAGAAGATTCCCAAGAAAACAATTGTTCCTGGCAGAGTGTGCTTCTATCATTTGAGAGAGTAAAACAGTTACAAAATACCTTCACCATTTCTTTGTACTTCTCTTTAAGTTCCTGGTAAGCCTTGCTGTACTTCATAATGGAAATGAGGGAGAGAGTGCTTTTAAATTCACTCTTCTTATTCTCCACAGACCACTTGGCCAGCTTGCCCAGCAATTCTTCTCCCAGCCAGGTGGGCTTAGGATACACAATTCCATCTGAATGCCATCTCTCTGGACAGAAAATTAAAACAGATATGAACCTTTAAAAATAAGAGAAATATGAATAAGCAGGGCTGGTTTCAGTTCTCATTTCTAAAGTACATGCTTATTTACCAAAAGATAAGAGCAAAAGCTAAAACATTTACAATTACAAAATATTTTATCAAAAACATGAACAGCTCTGGAACTAGTTACAGAATTTCTGTCTAACAGAGAAAAACACATAACTAAAAAGCAGAGAGGACTCCAAAACTCTGGCAAACTTTGTTATAAATGCATCTGCACATCTGTGAAGCCCTTCCAGGGGAAACAAAAATAACAGAGCTCTTTCCTGCTGTTTTGCCCAAGAATTCGCCTCAGCTCTTCTGTGACCCAACATCTTTCAGCTACCTAAAAACACTGGTCAAAACTGTAAGGCAGGGAAAGA